TTTTTTTGTCGATTTCCCATTCATTTCCTATGGTCTGTCATTTTTGACCGAAGACGACAAGTCTGCCTTTTTTTTTTTTACGACCACTTAGCCTGCTCAAATCAAGCCCTCAATTTTTTTTTGTGTTCACATTCCAAATGCCATAAAAGTCACCAAGTTTCGTACCATTCTGATGAAGCTGTGATTTTTTAAAATTCAAAACAGAAAATTTTTCGGACAAAAGTGACCGAAGAGCACCAGAGTTCATTGAAACATAAATCTTTTGTAACATTATAAATGTCTATAGCTGTCACTTCTGATCAGTCGAATGCATCTTTGCTGAATAAAAGTATTAATTTCTTTTAAAAAATCTTAAAAATCTTACAGACCCAAACTTTGGAATGGTAGTGTACATGCTTGTTATTGTTGTATTCCTACTTGATATCTCAGTCTTACAATCATAAATATGTCTAATGCTAGAAAGATGACATACTGTATAAGGAAGCCAACTGCAATGCTTGCATTTGTTTTTCAAGCCGTTCACTTGTCAAAAAGAAGTGACCAAGAGCGCTTCTTAAGTAGGAAGTTGAAAACCTTGGAGAAAACACCAAAGCACTGCCAGGACTATGTTTTACAGAATTATGATGTTTTTGTTTTATTGACATGGAAGAATATCTTTATTTGTTCCTTTTTGTTGTTTTTTACAAACGAAATGAAATCCACATGTAAAAGATGCGTGCTAAATATAGGTACATATAGCTGTATAATACCTTTATAAAAAATGATACGAAAGTGTTTTCAGGGCTCACAACTCGTTTTTGTTCAAGCTGCATTCAATGTTTTTTTCTTGGAAATACATCTGAAAAAACGCAGTCGTCTTATATTCAGGGTCTAGACTTTGACATGTCAATAATACACCCACAACAGTAGGTGGCGCCAAATACGCATTTTTTTTTTATATCAAAAAGTGTATATTTTTTAAATGTGATTGTTGGTACATTTTACCAGTTTTTACCATACTTTCAAAACAAAAATTAAAATAGAAAAAATATGCAATATGAAAATAATTGAAGACAAAATGTGTTTTACTGAGAAAAAAACAAGATTTGGTTTTTAAAAAGCCTTTTTCCAAAAGGTACATCAGGAAAAAGTGGGGTCGTCTTATATTCGGGCCAATACGGTACTTAAAAAAACACCCATTGATTGAAACAGTTGACGTAACGAAGCCTCGTTTGCTGAAATCCCATGACTTTGGAAGGTCGATATGTGCTCGCAGATGATTCGCAGATGTTTCGAAGCTTTACAAAGCAGTGCTTAGAATGCGCCCAGCATTATTCTTACGCTAAAAATAAAGTGGATAGTGAGTGACTAGGGTGGGAGACTAGCTAAACCACCTTACACCAGCTAAGACCAAAAAACTACCTTAGGCTGGAGGTTTAAGCTACTATAATTGCATTATTTGTAAGTGCCGATGGGACTGAATCCAAAACTTTTTCCCAGGCAATCCATGTTTTAACAGGTAAACCACCCATTAACTTTAGCTTGTTTTACAGTGTTCATAATCTCACACACCTGTTGTTGTCGTTCATGTATACAGAGCTCGTTGTAACGGAGTTTTATTAGTTGTTGAAGGACTGAAGTGATTTACTGTCTCTGGGTTTTCTCAAGCTGACGGATGTTCAGACAGTGACTCCATCAGATCTGGACAGCAGTCCTGCAAGACGGGTTTAGTCCAAAATGAAACACATTAGCATTACATTTGTTTCCTCACAATCGACTGCATGCTAATTTGCCTTTATCCACCGTTTAAAGTTTGTCACCTTGTAAAAATCTCTACGTCTACAGTTATAAAACCTAATATAATTACACAGCCTTCTAGAAATGTCTATGAGATTAAAATATAATGTTAGGCTACTCAATTCATTTAAACCTGAAAAGTTTGATTAAAAAAATTATTTGATCTAATTAAAACAAACTTTTGTTTACAATGTATTTCATGTTTATTAGTGTTGCAGAATTAGCTTAGCAAGGTAAAATCAAACTTTTAAAAAAAGTAAAAAAAAAAAATAGAAAAAAAGACTTTCTTTTAGGTTTTTTATGTTATTTGCATTGTGACATTATTTTCATGACAATTAAGCACATTCACTTACACTTCAATTCTCTGCATGTAAAAAAAAATGTGAGGAAAAATTTAATATTTAGGTATTTATATTAAGACTTGTCACAGCACTTACATATTATTGCTCTTTTGTTGATTTTGATTGTTTCTCAAAATGATAGCTATATTAAAGTGATTATTACGTTTTGAATATGGATATTTTTCTTACAAAAACGCATCGATTCGCTACAGGAGGCCTTTGTTCAGCCCCCGGAGCTGGGTGAGACACTTTTTTTATGAATGGGCGCTTTTTATTTAAC